TTGTCAAATATAGTGTTCAGTAATGTGAAACACCACAAAACTGGCTCACTAATTTAATTTGGTCAAAATGTAGTAAGCAAGCACTATACCAGGACTTCACACCACTGGACTCGGTTCAGTGGTCCATTGCACTTTCAAACCCTGAATATGTGTACCTGGTTGTTATGTCTCAACATGAAGTCATTTTCTGTTATATTTACTACTCAAATTGTCTGCTGTGGCCTGCCCAGCCTAAAAACAGCAGCAAGGTGAATGGCTTTTTATGCCCAGCATTGACATGATGCCTTCACAGTCAGTGTCAAAATCAACGGATTAACAGCTTTTTTTTTTTGGAGGGTGGAGGGCCTTTCAGGACTTGTTGTGTGCTGTGCCAGTGGGGGCCGTCGGCATCTATTGTGTGGCGAATCCATAGCAAACACTGACTCTCTTGTGTGGCTTTGGGGTCAGTGGGTCATTGTGTTGAGTGGCTTTTCACATTGACTGCATATTGAAAATGAAATATACAGTGGAAGGTGTACAGGAAAATGTGCATTGTAGACTTAGGTACATACATGTAAGGTCTACATTTGTACATATCTCTAATAGACTTGACTAAACTTACATGGGCCATGGAAACAGAACCAAGCAAGCTAGATAGTATACACAATCATGGATGAAAGGAAAACGAATTGTTAAACTTAAGAGAGCTGTTTCGTTACTGAAATTGAAAGTCACAAAACTGAAGATATATAATTAAACAGGAAGCTCGCATCAATTACAAAAAAATGTGGACATGCCATGATGATGCCACAACATCTACATGCATGCACATACATGTATGATTGTTTATTATAATTTACATACACTATACAGGTATGTTTCATAGACTCATAGTTTATAAAATATTGGAATGATATAACATATGTAGACAGTACCGTCTACCGGTACACACATACCGGTACAGTGTGTTTCCTCTCACGCTGGCAAATTAAGGTACATCATCACAGCAGTCAAAATCAATTAAGTTTTTTTAACATTAAAGAATTCCCTTAACCCTCCTGGTGTCTGAACAGTCACAGACAGTTAAAAAAAAAATCAATCCGCTCCCCTGCCATGCTTTTTACACTGGCTAGTCACCAACACTCAGATCATATTTCCAGCAAGCACTGTGACTAGTCAAATTCAGTCAACAGACAAAATCAGGCAAGTGGTAGGCACAGCTGGCTTATCAATCACCTACCGGTACAGTCAAAGCATAGCAAAGTTCTACATACAGTCACAGCCAGTCAATCCTGCTCTATGTAGGCTGGGAGCTCTTAACTGTTAAAAACAGACACTTGATTGATTTTGACTGAAAGGACAACTTTGCACAGAATGTGTGTTTGCATAGAAGGGTTAATACATGTAGCATAAATTGAAACTTGAATTTCTGCACAAAAAGATTCAAGTACACTCCTGGACACATTGGCAACTGTGTAGCAAATACAATTCAAGAGTGTGCTTAATATGGCACGACGTCGGATAATTTCAATATTGCAACCAAAAGGAGTCTAATAAGGTTATGGGTCTTAATAATGTCGGCAGGCGCGAGGCAACGCCGCCCCCAGGCCGTTTTGCCCGGTTGTGAAAGATGCGCATTAGCCCGGTGCTCTGTGTACACAGAAATACTTGTAATTCTTGTCTACATGCATACACTGTTCATATGTACCATCTGGGCAAAGATAATTGCTCTGTATTCAAGGCTTGTACAGTCTCATTAGTCATTGGTGTTACATAGTTGCCTCTGGTAGTGTATCAAATTATATGTGCAATAACATGCTTGTTATGGTGCATGTCATACAAAAATGTATGTAAATGCTCATGAGTATGAGGGACACATGTGTATGTGTATGTGTACTCACAGAACTTGCAATTACCGTACATGTATATGTAATTTCAGTGTTTATATTATAAAGCCTGCGAGTTACGATTATTGATTCATTTTCATTTTGGTTTGGGTACAGTTTTGAAAGATATAATTGCAGATTTGTTTCTTCTATTGGTAAATATTATTGTTTTTGAAAACAAAAGCCTCAAAAACCAAACATTGACCCACCTTGTCATAAAATTTGTCTTCATCCATAAGAATACACGTACTTCTGTCTTTGCGTTATCCTGCTTAATCACATTTACCATACCATAATGTTAATTACCAAAAGATTAAATTTGTTGATACACTGGCTGTGATTATGTCGCCAGCATGCATTTACAAGAAATTTTTTATTAAGATGTCATATTTTCAATGATTAATAAGGTAAAGAAAAATATATTTGGCATACATATATGTACGTGTACATACATTTTTTACAATGTTTATGTATACATACATGTTTATACAACACCTGAATAAATCCCCGTCATCTGATTGGTGGATCGTTGATCACATGTCATTGAATTATTCGTACCAATGCACGGGGCGCGCGTGGCGCGCAACGCGCAGTGCAATGGTAGTACTATTGCACTGTGATTAGAAGTACCATTGCACTGTCACTGCACATGTTGCCGATGGTGGCGCTGTGGTGTTTAAATTGGCAATAAAAGTTCTGAACTTATTGAACTGTTTGAAGTTCTAAACTTATGGAAAAGTTTTAAGGTGAGATAAATTGAATATTATAGTTCTCAACCTGTTGAACAGTTTGCATAATATAATAATAATAATAACTTGTCAAACTTGTAAACAATTTTTAACCTGAATAAATTGGCTATTAAAACTTAAAGTCAACCAATCAGATGACGAGGATTTATTCAGGTGTTATATAAAACAAATAATGAATGTTTTACGTTCGTGCAATAGAAAGAATAATTTCATTCGGTGACAGATGAAATGTTCCATTCCACTCGGCTTCGACTCGTGAAATGGAACATTTCATCTGTCACCTCATGAAATTATTCTTTCCATTGCACCCACAAACATTCATTATTTGTATACTGTTTTATCGTTTTCGTTCCTGTTCGATGAAAAAAGTATACATTGAATTAGCAGAAATACACTAATGTTTAAATGTACTTGGCACAACTAAATTTACAATGTGTAGCAAGGGAACAGCTTGAAAAAAAAAACCTTTTATTAGAATTTGACTGTTACTCGTGGTCCTACTCTGAGCTATGCAAATTTGCAAGCTTAGCGGAGTCTGTTATTGTGCGGAAAACCTGTATTGAAAAAAAAAACATAAAAGACTTGCAACAAATTTGGAAGACACTTCCTCTTTTGAAAGGCCATCAATCTGTGTATCTGACTGTACACTGAAGCAGAAAATAATGCAGCCTTTAATCAGTGGTCGTTTATCGGTGAACGCATACGAGTATTCATTATTCATCCCGGTGCATCATTGTCCAAGCTGATGAGATGGCCATGCATATAAATAGGCCTGCTGCTTAGAAACATGTCTGATTTCACAACTCGGGGCCCAACTGATGGAGTGTTGCAATATGTAGCTGTCCGACGTTCGGCGATTAAAGACGGCGAGAGATGGGAGAGGACACAGACAGGCAAAGCTTGCCTACCCCTCATGTATCAGAATTATCCACAGTGTTCCCTCCTGTGTAAATGAAGTGTGCGCGCTGTTGTCGCAATGAATCTTGCATTAGCGCTGCCAGTCCCACAATGGGACGCGGCCCAGGCAGCTGGGATTTGGTTACCACGGCGGCCGGTGCCAAGGCGATGGGCATCTTCCTTGCGCTCTTCTTCTCCGTCCAAATCAGGCTTTTCATCATCGCGGAGGTTCTCAAGTGACAAGGGGATGCTTAATTGCATTGGTGTGAAGACCCCGTTGCACCCTCTGGAGATTTGTGTGTGTTGTGAGACAAACCTAAATCATGGTTTTGGGGGCATAATTAGTGAATCCATGGAGCTATAATTTAGGAATGGCATGAACATATAGGATTGGAAGCTACTGGTGCATTTAAATGTATGGGTTACAATATGTATCTGCTGATAACCTACCAGTACATGTAGATACTGGTTCACATGTATGTACATGTACATACATGTATGGTCCAATTTGAAGAGAAAAAATGTTCTTGAAATAAAACCATTTAAAAAATAGTACATGTTTTTTTCTTGTATAATTCTTTGAATATATATAATGTTTTTCTAGGTGCTGACATGCAAGCAAAAAAATGTCTTCGAAACGTTAATTGTGTTGTTAAGTTCAAGTTACATTAGGATTTATGCTCATCAAGGAAATTTATGAGTTTAAAGGGTCTAAATTTTAACAACATATAATGGTTTTAATTTTGGATCCTTTTCAACTTGCCTCCCAACGCCGTGATCATTCCAAGATGGCTGAAAGATTGAAAACTTGAAAAATTGTACATTTTCTATTTTGTCTCAACATATCAAACTACTGAAATACAGTGTGATGGAAATAGTTGAAAGAATGCATCCAACACCCACTCTTCGTCTTCTCTTCAGTGGCCATCCGTTAAAAAATCAGGAGTTAATGATATTTTCATTGCGCTAAGGCTGCTCTTTTGATGTGAATCGATCAGGCCGGGACCCTTTCCTTTTGCAGCTTGCTTGGCCTTCCGCTGTCTCAGTTTGAAACCGGAGACCCGTGAATCGAGGATGAGATGAGATCCCATTGTGTCCGAGATGTGTGCTTGTTAAAAGGTGCCGGGGCAGAAAATCCCGAGTAAATTAATCACGACCTGAAGGTGAAATGTTGCCTTGGGATTCTCATATGAATTTTTTTTATGAGGTGAATTGAATCTGTTAGAGTACAGGAGGATTGTGGAAAATTTAGCAAGATTGCTGAAAAGAAAACAATGACAAAACAAACAAATAAAATGGTTTGCAGCTCAGTGATATTAATGTGATGTTTAATTTTAAGTTGAATTATAAGATTGAAATGTCTTTATTTTGGTATGATGATTTACAACTTCAACTAATTGATAAAACATTCTAATAATATAAATTTTGATTTTCTTCCTGAATTTTCTGTTATTAATGTTTTCTTTTGTTTGACATATTTCCCTTCCAGGTGACGACACCAAATACATGTTGAAAATGCTCATCCCCAGCACAGTGGCAGGTTCCATTATCGGGAAAGGGGGACAGACCATAGCCAAGCTACAACTGGACACAAAAACAGTCATCAAACTATCCAAAAACAATGATTTTTATCCAGGTAAGATCTCAGTGTGTATGTGGACAATAAGCTAAAAAAAAAGTAGAGATTTAAAAAAAATTCAGAAGGCTGGAGATTGCATGATATTTTTGAAGGCTTCAGTAAAAACAACTTGAAGTTCCCCTTCTTTTGTAGTACGTCAGATGTGACCCACATTTTGTGGATTTTGTAAAGTGCAGTGCGTGCAGAAAAGGAAAGGTTTCATTTTGGAGAAACTGGGGCTAATAAATAGCATGCAGGTGTGGGTGAGCATGACAGATCAATGGTTTGAACATGAACTTTCACATTTAGCATTATACGTAGATGTTCTTAAGTCTGCACGTTATAGTGCGTGTTTCTTAGCATAACCCGTGAGAACATCCGTTCAATCCCATTATCAAAATTATCAATTAGATATTCTCCCTTCCTCTGTGGACAACACAACAACTGTGGCTCTCCTAGCAACTAAAAGATGAGTTTTTGCTGGCGTTGACACGCTCTTTAGAAGCAGTTGCAAAAAGCTAGTGTGTAATTTACTAATGGTTGCTTGCACTTTTTCCCCCTGCAGAGCGAGTCAATAATCGCTAGTTTGAGCATCGGGCCCTTGAAACAAATCTTGATCAGTGCAAGTCCATCAGAGTTTTTGATTGGACCGTTAGTATTAGCAAAGCTAACACTCTTCTCACAATTGGCATGAGCTGTTAGTGTTAATTCACTGGTAGTGGTACGCGTACCGGTACAGTATGCCATTAAACCTTTTTGCTGTTGGCTGGGAAGTAGAGTTAGACCGGGAGCCAGGGGGGGTCAGCCTAGCTGGAAAGTTAACCAATTTTCATGTATGCAGCAATGTTCCACATGCATACCAATGTAAGGAAATGGACGTCTGCCGGGCACACTGTGGTGGGTATGGTCAGGAGGGCCATGAGAAAGGGGCCACAAAATTGAGCTAGATCAGCTGGTGAGTTAACCCAATGAAACCTACTGGAAAATGTTGGGCCCAGTCCCAGGTATCATGAATGGCCACTGCCAGACATTTTCAGTGGTGGAAAGTGCCCGCCAGACATGAAAAACCTGTATAGGAGGGGGCGTGGCCATAACCCCCTCCCATTCCTTTTCGCCTATAAAGTAGCAACGCATCGATATAAAAAATTGTAAAACCAGTTTGTATATGTGCCTGACTCTTGTAGAATACAAAAATATAACTTACGAGTAATTTAAGATCTGACTAATTAACTTAAGAGCAGCGCGAATAGCTTGGAGGGGGCGGGGCTACCACCCCTCCAAGCATATTTTCGCTTATATCATTGCAACGCATTCTATTAATTCTGTCAAATTTTCCTGGCATATTTGCCAATGCTTTTTGGCTATTTTGTATCCATTTCTATAAAAAAAACCACCGTTCTCATCAAATGTCTGTTTCCCGAAACAATTAGGCTATTGACCAGGTTAGCAGTACATGTACTCTGATTCAAACGATATAAATTTGTACATTTGCTGACAAATGACAGTGGTACTGGTATATGTATATAAAGAAGCACGTGCCATGGGGGACACACGGGCATGTAGGGATGGACGGAGAAACATATGAGAGAGATAAAGAGTAAGGAGGGTGAGATACATAGGGTATTATGCTTAGGTGAGAATGGAGGGGAGGGGGTTGGGAAGGAGGGGGCACAGGAGGAAAACAATATCCAATTTTTAAGTCTCCTATGATCCCACTTCTTGCCACTCTCTTTGTCCCCCAGCCTGATATCTCTCTCAACCCCCACCCATTTCGTTTATCCTCGCCCAAACAAATTTCTTTTGTTCGTTGCCAGTCATTTCTTCTTTATATGATGTTCACCTGTTGATCTCTCCTCAAGTCCAATAATCCCTCTTTTGTGTGCTGGCCCCATACATTTTTCTTGTAAGTGCCATTTTGAGTTTTAATAATATCGTATTTATAAACGCTGTGTACTCACACAAATTTAATACACCTGCCACTTTAATACGTCAATTCTTCCTTTCTATTCTCTTCGGTTCCGATAGAAATATTTAACTAAATACATGTAGCGTTTTCCTCGTCAGGTCCAATTTCTATAAACTGACTTGTTGGGTACCATTGCCCCTACTTTCTCCTTTGCTCCCGGTGCATTCAAATGCACCTTTCTTGTTCCATAGTGATGGGGACAAACACTTGTTGCTAGGATGTATTTGTAGGGACAGAAAACTGGGGGGCAGCAGGAAGTCAACATATCTCATTCCTAAAATGTGCATAAAAAATTTAAAAAGAAACTTCCCCATAACGTGGTGACGTCCCGCCCAAAGTGTGTATTTACGTGCAATCATCAAAATTGTCCCTCTTCTGTTATTACTTTGACTTTTTAGGAAGACATCCCATTTGTTTTGTATTTGTTGAACCCCATAATGTTCAACATCCCCTATTGAATGCAGAAACAAACAAGTTTGTCCAGTTGGAATATGATGTACGGTACCAGCAGGCAGGGACGGTGGAATGCTTTTCAAACTGGGGGGGGGGGGGGGGGGGGGGGGGGGGCACACCAAAAAGGGGCAACTGCTCAGAAAATGGGGCACCTTCAGTCGGTGTGAAAATGAGAGCTCTTCGGCCTCCGCAATGGCTGATCTGAAACTCATTTTTTTTTTTGCAGAAAAATGTGGTCCCCAATAAGTGGGTCCACAAAATTTCTGCACGTTGGATTTAGGGCCCGCTTTAAGGGCCCGGAATAAACTGGATTCTAGATGCTCTGTGGTGAGATCTGAGGCAATTTCTGACCACTGTTACCAATTTGGTTTTAGGAAAAGATGTTGGTGTACGTAGTGGCTACCTTTTTGTGACATCACTAAAAATACAATTGGGTTTGTTATTGCATTTTATTATCACTAAAAGCACAATTGGGTTCGTTATTGTGGGGGGAGGCATGGGCCCATTGCCCCTCATCCTCTTGGATCCGCCCGTGGACCTTCGGCAAACGGCACATTATACGTCCTCCGCCCCCGCCAGTAACCTCTGTTGGTCCCCCCATGAATTTGACTATAGTTATGTAGAGAGACAATTTATTTGGTGGAAGGGCACTTTTGATGACCTAGAAAAATCTTGAGGTGGGGGGGGGGGGGGGGGTCCTTGGCCCCTGCCAGCAGGCACTGCACCAAAACTATTGAAGCGATGGAATTTGCATCGGAGTGATGTAAATCCAAATTTGGGGTTTTGCCCTTCATCAACATATTTATTTACATTATAAACACTGTACATATAGGCCTACACAGGCCCCAGAGTATAGTATCACAGTTATTTACCAAAATACGTGCCTACATGTATTTCAAAACATAACTCCAGTTTATTTTGTTGACTTATATAAAATGATTAAAAATAAAAGTAACAATGCACAATAATAATTATTTACCAATGTTGACTCTGTGTTTTGCCAGCAAAATCATACATTTTCCTCGTTTCATTCAGAATGCAATTATTCACACCCTGATTTAAATATTTAGGCCACGCCCACAAAAGAGTGAAAATAACATGTATTTCCATGTATGAATATATTAACCATTGTCAAAATGTCTGTCAAAGCATACAAAAACAAGGGAAATGGACTGGGGAAAAAAACCCGTTTTGTAAGATTTCATTATCTGTACCCTTTTTAAATAAGCTCCGACCCAGCACACGTAATGTACATGTACTGTACATATTGAACATACCGGTAACCTACTTTTTTTGACAATGACATTTGATGAGAACAGTGTGCTGTATTTTGTTAAAAATGGATACAAAATAGCCAAAGGGCATTGGCAAATATGCCAGGAAAATTTGACAGAATTAATAGAATGCGTTGCAATGATATAAGCGAAAATATGCTTGGAGGGGTGGTAGCCCCGCCCCCTCCAAGCTATTCGCGCCGCTCTTAAGTTAATGAGTCAGATCTTAAATTACTTGTAAGTCATAATTTTGTATTCTACAAAAGTCAGGGCACATATACAAACTGGTTTTACATTTTTTTTATATCGATGCGTTGCTACTTAATCGGCGAAAAGGAATGGGAGGGGGTTATGGCCACGCCCCCTCCTATACAGGTTTTTCATGTCTGGCGGGCACTTTCCACCACTGAAAATGTCTGGCAGTGGCCATTCATGATACCTGGGACTGGGCCCAACATTTTCCAGTAGGTTTCATTGGGTTAACTCACCAGCTGATCTAGCTCAATTTTGTGGCCCCTTTCTCATGGCCCTCCTGACCATACCCACCACAGTGTGCCCGGCAGACGTCCATTTCCTTACATTGGTATGCATGTGGAACATTGCTGCATACATGAAAATTGGTTAACTTTCCAGCTAGGCTGACCCCCCCTGGCTCCCGCTCTAAGTTGGCTGGGAAGTAGAGTTTTGTTATTCCTAACTGAAACAAATGTAAATCACGTCAATAAGTCATTTTTGGAGAGGTGTGGGACGATGTCCCAGACTTTCATGTCTGACTTGATGGTGGTGGCTGTTGGGGTCAGGTTGGGTCACTGAGGTCAGGTCAGGTCACTAGGTCACCAGAGGTGACACTTCATTCCAGGTCCTGTGTGGTACATGCTTGGGATGATCTTCGCTCCCATCCAGTGCACAGCCAGTAAACAGATAAATCAAATGCAACTCACCACATGTGCTCTTCAAATACACTGGAAAAGTTTTTATTTTTTTTTTTTACATGTAACAGAGCTGAGTGGGCATTTACACATGCATAACATGTGTAGTTGAATATTGAGAAAAGTTTTTCCCAGGGGCAAGATATCTAAGCACAATAATTGGAAATAAAAAAATACTAACAAGTACTGTATCTTTGTTGACAAGAATTTTTAAAAAGTTGGTGGTTGAATTCAACAGGCCTTAGGCTTCTACTTTTCCTCAGATCAGTTTATTTCTTCCATCATATGCCACTAAAATGAAAAAAAAAAACCTGAAAAATTCTGTCAAGTGTGTAATTTCCAACACTTTGGATGGCTTCTTGGTTTCATATCTGATTCCAGATCATCCATCAAGCA